CCAGGATAGGGCCAGGCAGCGAAAATGCGCAGACCAGCTTGTTCCCCAAATCGACTTGTTCAAGACCATGCGCGGCCCTCATGTGTATATATATATATATACATATATATGTATATATATATATGTATATGTATACAAACAAGCATGTAAGACAATTTTCAATTAATCAGGAGTATAACTCAGTATAACTCCATAGTTAAACAATTAAGGCTGCATGAGCAGATAGATGCGTGCTCTCCATCTTGATAGTGGGGTTAACTCTATCGGCTTTTAGCGCTTTGACAGTGTGCGATGAGTTTGCGTTTAACAGTTGTTGTTTTTGTGGGTTGAGTTGCTTGAATCACAAGGTTCTCCTCTTTGTCCAGCTGTTTGCAATCGCGGTGTGCTGTTTTCTGAGGAGTTTTATTGCCTGTCACTAGTTTTTCTCTCGTTCTTCTTGTTCTTTCTGTTGTGCTAGGTTTTGTTTGCAAGTATGTGATCTTTTCTCGAAAGCCGCTGTTGTTGTTGGGATTCGTTTCCGCGGCTGTGCCACAAACAAACATGACTCGAATTTCTTTTCTCTCTCAGTTCTCCGAAGAAAACTGTAGATCATTGGCATTTCGGCTTCATTCCGGAGTAATGTGCGCAGGCGACGACGGTATTGAGAGCTGTTGGCCACATCTCGGGGAAGGGGACCTCTGCGCCGAGGAGGTCTGGTCCCTGGCTACCGCGAATTGTGAATGTTCCTACTCACCCGAAGAGTCCGAAGAGGGTGTCGGCTTGCTTGTTCGCCGTCTGCGACCATGCATCACTGCGGTAGCCGGTAGCACACTATGGCTGTGTTTCGACTGCCTTCACCTCGCCCCCTCGTCTTAGAGTTGAGATCATCTCGGCGCCAGAGCCCAGAGCTCCTTCGATCAGGGGTTTTTGCTCAGAGCAAAGTGCCTAGTTGTGCAGACGTTGGGCTCAGGGTTTGGCTTGAGGACTGCAGGGTTCTGGGAAGCCGACAAGGGGGGTCTAGTGCTCGAGGAGCTGGTGGGGCTGAGGTCTGCAAGAGAGACGCTTTCAGCCCCAACCTAACAAGCCTAAACTCAACCCTAAACTTTCCTAAGCCCTACAGTAGACGTTAATTCGGGAACCCAAACTGAAGACATCAGCGGCTCGAACTGTCAAACCCCTCTGCCGCGATGCAGTTTCCGGTTCAAGGTTACAGGGCATTACAGAGAGTGAAGGTCAAGGGTCCGGGATTTTGGATTTTTAAACCAAACTACAACCACCTGCATCCTACATTGCGAAATCCTACAGCTTTGGCCTTAAGCCAAAGGCCCGAAAGGTTTGAAACCGCCCAAAACCCTAAAGCCCTAAACCCTAAACTGTGAGAGCCACGACTTCCTTCGAACGGTAGTTGGATGATCATGGGACTTGGCAACTACGGTTGGAAGTACAAGCACCTTAATTATTGGGGTTGCGAGTCAAGCTATAAGTATTTATGACTATGTCAGGTCATCTCACCTTACTTTTAACCCTGCTTGTTGAGTCCCCCGAACCCTAAACCCTCAACCCTAAACCCTTTACGTGAGGATCGAATCCGAAAAGCACGCAGCCCAGGGCTTAGGGTAAGTCCAGGCTCTGGGCCTGAGAGCGAACCTGAAGCCCTCCAGGCCCCGCGAGCCCGTGAGCCAGCCAGCTCAAAGCATAAGCTTGAAGCTCATCGAAAAGAAACATTCAAGGGCCCTGAAGCCCCAAGACGAGTTAAAACCCTGAAGCGGAACCTCTGACCCAAAAACCTCACCAACAGACCCGAGCCTCTCAAACTTTACGACATCCTTACACCCTAAACCCAAACCCTAGTTGCAACCAGAAACCGGGCAAAAAAAATGAAAAAAAAAACCCCAAACCTCGGCAGGACTCCGCCGAGGACCGGGCCCTGCGCACCGCGAAGCTTTGTGGCCGCCTCACGCCGAGCGGGGAGCCCCGGGTGGGCATCGGCCGGCCCTCCTCCAAAAAGGGATGTCATCGCTTTTGGAGCCTCATTTAGGGTGTTTTAGGGTTCTTCGCGGGTTTGGGGTTTTGCCGGGTCTGGAGTTGTTCGGCTTGTCCTGTCGCATCTTCAGTAAGCATCTCAACTTCTTGCTCAGAAGACGTCGATCCAAGACGGCATGATTGCATCATCCCAACGGAAGCTAAATGGCCGGCTCGAGCAATGGTGGGAGAGCAGCAGCAGATTCGTCAAAGATTAAGCGGCAAGGGTTTAACAGATCAAGCGAGTAAGATAGATGTCGAACATTACAATAGCATGATCGACGACATCTCTGCGATCCGGTGCAGGCCTCAGCCCGGACGTTGAGGCAGCTGTCAAGCAGGAGGTGCGCCATTGGGGGGGGGGTGAAGGGGGGAAGGTAGGCGGTGTTTATGCAATGGCAGAGTTTGGTCACGCAAGCCGCATGTTGCACGAACCGGGGAGGTGCTGCAGCTGCTTCAGCGTGCTCTGCCACGGGAGGACACAGGCTGGGAGGCCGGGGGAGCTCGAAGCGCTTCTGGCAATCAATCTCGTCCCGGGTAAGGTGCTAAGAGACTTCTGGTGTTTCGTGTTCTAAGTACCGCTGCATCTGCTGCTGCATATGTCGCCGCTATCCCAAGGCCGCCAGCGACGTCTCACAGCGCTTCGGCCAACTGCAGGCGCCGGGTCTGGGCTGAATTTCTTGCAATGCCGAGGATTGCAGGCAATCACGGAATATTTTGGATCTGGCTAGGACTCTTCACAGATTTGGCAATGGCTTTCGTCAGGACGGTGGTGCTACTGTGGTGGCATCATAGTTACCCTTTAGTCAATCCGGTTGCTGCTTGTTTGGCATTTTGTTGCGCCGGGTAGTCTTCTCCATATTGCTGTTTGCGGCGTTGTCCACATTCGTTGTAATCTTGCCAGTTCCTCTTCGCGGTGCCATCTTGGCTGCCTTGATGCTGACTGTGATGGCGAGCGCTGTTGCACCAGACGTTTACCCTCTTCATAGTTGTCATGATCAGTCCTTGCCATTGCCACTAAGACTTCGGGCTGTGTAGGAACCTGGAGTCGGGGGTTTTGGGCTTGGGGTACTGTAGTCTGTGCTCATGTCTGCTAGTCGCCTTGAATTCTTCGCCTGCTTGCGCCGCTCGCGGCTCGAGACCCACGTCGGTCCCGGTCCTTCCTCCTGTTGATACCATTGTCCAGCGCACAGACGCACAGAACATGGCCTCTGCGTTCGCTGCTGGGCCTTCACCTCAGCTGTCGGCATCGGACAAAACCCAGTTGGCTTGAGCCCCTTGTTGAGCCCTTTCAACTTGCAACGCTGGCCCTCCCCATCGTTTCGTCTGGAGAGGCCAGGGCCTAGTCCTCAAGCACTCAGGAAAGACCTCGACGTTCACACGGACATGACCGTCAATTTTCGAGTCTCGTCGGGGCCGGGCGCCCGGAGACATGCGAGCTTCGTTTTCGGAAGAACGGTTTGCTGACGTTGGCCTCGCGCCAGCTGCAGGTGCGGAAATAACCTCACCCTCAGCTGCGTCCTCGGACTTGAGCTGCTTCTCTTGCCCGGTGAATGTGCGTCGGTAAGGCATCGAGGCTGTTGCAGCTGGAGTCCAAACCGACAAGTTGGGAGGCAACGCCGGAGGCGGGAGAGGAGAGGAAGTCGAGACTCACCTCTGAGACGCTTCAAAACGCAGGTGTTTGCCTACCAGCGTCGCACAGCGGTGCCGTCACGGTGACGTGCGCCGATCTAGCTGACTTAGATGATGATGAGGAGAGCAAGATCAACCCATGCAGTTTTGGTGTTGACCGAGTCAGTTGCCAGGGCCTGCCTTCTTTCGATGCATGGGAAAGTGCTTTTTGAAGGTGCTTCTCCATCTTGGGAAAACTAATCAATTAAGACTTGCTGCTGGTGTAGAATCGGACCCCAACGCCTTAAATCCAAGAGCTGCCTCTCGCCACAGAGATGCTGTCGGCACTGTGGTCGATACTTCTTGTTTTGAGCTTAAGGGGCTTTCGTTTGGCCTTGAAGCGGCATGCTTCTCGACGCATACAGATTAGGGACAGTCCTTGAAATGTGCCTGACTGGTGGTATTACACTTCTTTCATGAGCTGAAAGGACCTCAATATTCTACTGGGATGCCCCATAGTACATCGCATTCGCATAGTTGTGTTCATGTCGTCGTTGTCGTCCTCCTCGTCGTCGTCGTCGTCCTCGTCGTCGTCATCATCGTCAGCATCATCATCATCATCATCATCATCACCATCATCATCGTCATCATCATCAACACCATCACCTTCATCGTCATTGTCATCGTCATCGTGCTCATCATGATCACCATGATCATCGTGGTTATGATCTTGATCATGGTCATCATGATTTGCTACCGTCATCGTTATCATGATCATGTTCATCATGTTCATCATCATCATCATCACCGCCATCATCATCATGATCATCATTCCCATCATGTTCTTCACCATCACCATCACCACCACCACCACCATCATCATCATCATCACCATCACCATCACCATCACCATCACCATCACCATCACCATCACCATCACCATCACCATCATCAGCAGAGGCATCGACATCATGATCATGACCATCATCATCATCATCATCATCATCATCAGCATCAGCCACCGCTGATGCATGACTGAGGTAGCCCTAAACTGCCAAATCCCTGATAACCCCAAAGATTCTTAGCCCCTGCACGACTCTAAATCGGTTCCGGGGTTCCCAGGACGATTGCGGAGAACCTGTTGGCAAAACTCTCTCGGCGTGGGCCTTGGATCGAACCGGAGCTAAATGACCTCTGACACCGCAACACTTGAGTCCTCAACCCTAAACCGCCAGGCATGAATCCTTTGTACCCTAAGCTCCTACAGCCAGTACCGCCCCAAGCGCTTTGCCCCCAAACCCATGCTCTACTACGACTGTGACTGCGACCACGGCTTTGCTGCTGCTCCTGCTACTGCTACTGCAGCTTCTTAAACCCTAAACCCTGGACCCTAAACCCAAAACCCTAAACCCTAAACCCTAGCACACAAAGCGTCAGGAGAGCACAGAGGCGCCAAGCGAGCTATCGACGCCGCAGAGCCCGCATCCCGGAGCTTCAGGGTTTTCGAAGGCGGTTTTGAGTGAATAGTACTCATCCCTTTGCAGTCCCTGTAAAGGTATGCGGTCTGCAATTATGCAACCCAAAACCTGTTCTATAGTTTTTCTGGCCCCTAGATCTTCTTTGATAGCCGAGCTTGAGCTTGAGTGCCGAGGCGTAAACCTTTCCAGAGACGAGCCAGACGAGCCCCGGCAGCTCCTGATGCTGCTTTCCAGCGCCCCGATCTGCAGATCGGTTCAGGGGCCTTTTTCGGTCGGGTTGGGAGGAATGGAGGCTTCCTAACAGAATCGAACCCGAACCTCCACAAATATCGATTTCTAAGCCGAAGTCTTGTTCAAAAGCCGCAAAGCTTCGAACTGGGAGCATGGAACTTCGAGTTTGTTTTTGGAGCTTCGTTTCGCCCCCTCCTTTAAAGGTCGACGCGTCGCGGCTGCATTGAGGCAGACGGACCAAGCGGCTTCGGGTGTTTCTTTAGGGAGGTGTTTGGGCTTTGAAGCTTCAGAGTTCGGGTTGAGGGTTCATGGGTGTAGGCCTAGTGTTGAAGGTGTCCACCATGGGTGGCCATACCCTCCTAGCGAAGCTCACGCAGACTATTTTCTATGGCTGGGCGCAGTGCGAAGCTCGCAATCTGGACGTACACAAACAAGGACAAGCCTACTTGCTACTCTACAGCTTTACAATTGTAGGTGACAGTTCACATGGGTCAAGAGGCTTTCCTACCCAGCCTTCCCCTTAGCCAAAGGATACAGGAAACACACATGTACAGCTTACCGGAAGGAAACTATACAGGTGCCAGCAATCCCTTCAAGCAGACTACACACCTGCCTAACCTGATGCCTGGGCAAGCAGTCAGAAGTATTTCAACACTCCTCCTTGCTAGAGCCGACAGGCAACTTGCACAAACTGCACGATTTACAGCATACCCGTTCCTGGGACCTTTGGCCTTGAACCTTGGCTTGCCTTTACAAACCTGAGCGGTGGCGGTCCCTGCAAACGCAGCACAAGTTGCGGGTAGTTCAGGGTGTATTACGCCTCAAACCCAACAGTTCTGATCTAGAGGCTAGCTGGGTGATCAGTCCAGTTTGCCCTCCTGCTTGACTAAACGAAACTTTCTCGAGGATATCCAAAACAGTACATACAAGTGCACTTAGGGTACAAAATTACGGCTCCGGGTGCCCTGGCTGGTTTACTGCCAACGCGGGTTCGGGACTGCGATTACCGATTAATTCGGGTCACCTAAACCGGGACCGGCTTTGGCTGCTGCGAGGAGTAAGCTCATCACGACAACTCCTATTGGGCTTGAACATCTTAGTCAAAATGCACATAACATGCTCTCTCTGACGGCCTACCCGTTACGGTGGCTGTACTCCTTCTCAACTGCACCATCGTTTGAACATGGACCTGATGCATCAAACACCTGATTGGCTTGTACCGCGGAAAGTGCCTGACGGATGCCTTGAAGAACCTCGGGCGGGACAGTTGTTGAGTCTTGCGTTGGGGCAATGCGAGTTGAGGCTGAGTTGATGACTGAAGGTTGGGGGAAATGAGGAGAAGCTTGAGGACCCGAAGCGTGCGACGCGTGCTGTGCTTCTTGCACGACCTGAAGCGCAGCATGAAACACAGTCGGCAGCACGTGCATCGAGTCTTGACGGCCTGGGACTGCTCCCGGCTGTAACGTCGTCCTACCCGTGCCAGCTGCAAGCTGCAGCTTCTCCTGCTCCTCCTCATTCGGGCTACTCTGGGAGCTTTGCGAGCCTTGCTGCCCACTCGTCTCGTGTTGCCAAGATACCTTACCCGCAAGCAATGCAGACCTAGCTAGCACCCCCATTTCACCCAGCAAGTGACGATGATGCTCTAGCACGGCCTCTGCAGTTGGTTGGCCATCCATATTCAGCACGGAGCGAATCACGACCGTGCGAAATTTAGCTTCTTCGTGTTGTGCAAAGACTTGGCTGGTGATTGAAGCTAAGCCTTTTGACAGGATGGATGCATCAGGAGGGCACATACCGCAGTCCTCACAACGATTGTGCCAGCGAAGCCAGTCACGCAAAAGCTTCGCAGCGGAAGGAGCGTCCGTGGCTGAATCAGGTTTGCGCAGCTGTCGCTGGATAAGCGCTTTCTCAGAACCTCCACATGGTTAGTAAGTGGTGTGCAACCGAAAAAGAATTGATGGGGCAGACTGGGTGCACTTGCGGGCCTTCATGTATGCTTGTATGGACTCTGGCAGTGCTGCGATGAGCATGCTGCACGGTCTACGGTTAACCCGTGCCCATTTGCCCTTAAGCAACTCGTCTGGTACGACAGGCTCAACCTCAACCTATCTATTGGGGAACACGAAAGCCAAACCCGATAAGCTGCATCTGCCACCCTTGGAAACTTGCTCCACCACTCGGCTGCAGTGTCTGATGCGTGACCAGCCAGACCACTTATCACCGCTAGCCAATCTTGATACAGGAGAGACCCTTCATCCGATGTGAGTGCTGCCAAAGCTGGAAAGTTTGCTATGCTTGGCTTGACTGCTTCAGGATTCGTTGCATCCCCGCAATCAGCAACTCACGATCTGTGCCTCTGGGTTCTGCTTTCGGCTTCGGCGGTGCAGGACAGGAAGACCGAGAACCGACAAAGCTCGCAATCTGGACGTACGCAAACAAGGACAAGCCTACTTGCTACTGTACAGATTTACAATTTTAGGTTACAGTTCACATGGCTCAGAAAAGGTTTTCCTACGCAGCCCTTCCCGAAGCCAAATGATACACGAAACATACATGTACAAGCTTACCGGAAGGAAACTATACAGGTGCCGGCAATCCTTTCAAGCAGACCACAGTGAGAGCTACTTCTAAAACCTAGGCTTTAGGAAGTTCGAGGGTTCCGGGTCGGACTTTGACACTTTGGGGTTAAGGATGGCACAGTCTTCTTGGTTTCGTCTTACAAACTTCCATCGACTACGACGGCTACACCGTGTACTTCTCTCAACTACAACCAGCTAGGCTTCCTGCGAATGCACTGAAATGACTGAACATGAAGGCTTCTTAGGAGCTCGTGCGCTGGGACCTAACGACCTAACGAAGAGCGGTATTGATCGGGTTTCTGGTTCCAGGCGCTCCTTTGGGGAACTCTACTGGGGACCCTGGGCACCTTATGAGCCGCTTTTGGGCGTAAGACCGCGGAGGTTCCCCGGGATCCTTCCAAGAAGGTTAAACGGTTTATGCAGGAGTAAGGGGTATGTGTTTGGGGTGGGCGGCCGGAAGTTATGGAGTTCAATACTCCTGGAACCTACTGGTTTCTGATTCAGTACTCCTATCGGAATGTACAGAATGCGGTTCTTGGGCTTACTGGCGTCTTGTAGAAGCCTTGAGAATCTCCAGTTCGCAAGCCAGAAGCCCGAAAAGTCATGTTAGTAATGTGGTGCTTCACGGGGCCTCCAGCTTTTCCCAGCTCGGCACCTTGCATCCTGTGCTTGGGCAGGGAGACTCTGCAGATGCTTGATCCTAGGGAGGCGAGTGAGGGTGGCGGGGTTTGGGGTCCAAGTTTCAGGCCTTAGGGCGTCAGGAATCAATGCAGCACATTTAGCACTTCGTAGCGATTACAACCAAAGCCTTAACCATATAACGGGCAGGTTCGCATCCTCGGCAAAGGCTTCGTGCACAAATCGAATTTCGTGATATTTCGTGTACATTCAAGCAGCCGTCAGTCGTAAAGCCTATAGACGTCTCATCCGTGCATGTGATATGTTGCGTCCTCTACCTCATGCTTGAAATCGCAATCTAAGAGCAGCAATGCCTGAACACATGTCTCCAAGCCGAAGGCTTTCATGTAAGATCTGCCAAGATTAACAGAATACAAGGTGCTGAGCTGGTTGAGCAAGAATGAGACGACACACAACTTATTTTCAGCCCGCATGGCAAAGTGGTACGTGCTATTGCTACTACTGACTGAAACACTTCAGTACTGACTATGCTACTCATTGCTGCTGCTTCTACTACTCCTGCTCTGATTGTTCTACTACAGCTACCGCTTCCGCTGTGGTGACGATGACTGCTACTGCGACGGTTACTACCTACAGAGGACGACAGCTATCACTGCCACTGCTGCTCCTGCTGCTACTGCCAGCAACGGGAGACGAGAGCATCAACATCATCATTACTGGTTTCGTCACGTCTATTTTCCGACCAGTCATCGCAACTGTTGCAACAGTTTCACAAGTGCTTTGCTTCCTGGGTGTCACATGTTGACCAGAAGCAATGGCATACCCCGGTTTCCAACTCGTCAGCTTCCTATGAGGCCTTCCTGAGCCAGCGCAAAATCCTGAAGGTCCTGGCAGAAGTGCCGGGTGCTCAGATCAAACTGATGTCTTAAGCAGAAGCCTGGCTGACTTGAAAGCTGTGTCAGCAATCTGGGCGTTTGGGGTCCACGTGTTAAGCTGACACGGATCGGCGGGGGGCTCGAGAAGTCGGTTAGTTTCAAGGACGCGCCTTTCTCTCAAAGCCGTCAGGTGTGACATCTGGGAGGCGCGAAGTTTCACCCTCATGCAACCCGGGAAATGACTTCAAAGCCTAAAGGCCCCAAAGCAGAAAGGCCCCAAAGAGCTCTTGGAGTCTGAGGCACTTCTTGTGGAAGATGCGCCACGCCTGGGCTGCGCTACCGGAGGAGAGTTGCCCAGAAGTCGAGAGTGCTGAACTTGGGGCGCCTTCTGAAACAGTGGGCCCTTGATTTTCTGAATCTCCCAAGTAGGCATCGCAAGAAGCATGAACAGCCAATGCAAGAAGGTCATGGAAGAATGATGGGACGATGGGGACTTGAACCAGCTATCGCTCGTCTCTCCGTACCGGAAGTTTAGTGATTTGTGCCAGCTTGGTGAGGAGTCCTGGGGCTCTTTCTTGCGAGGCACCGGGGATGCGTCGTTGCAGGAAGAACAAGGGACACTTGTGCGAAAGTTGAGGTGTACAGTTTAGGGGTTGGGAGTTTCAGGTTTGGGGG